TTGATGTCTTGGTGTCCTCCTATGGGTTTCTTCAAGATAAATGTGGATGAAGCTGTGAATAAGTTTTGGAATAAAGGGGGAATATGTGGATTACTAAGGGATGAAGATGGTTCGGTGTTGGGGACATTTTCTAAGAGTGTTGGTTCGGGCACTCCAATTTTGGCCGAACTGTTGGCTATCATAGCTAGTATATTATTCTTCATGAATTCGAATTGGAGCTCAAGGGGAAGACTTATTTTGGAGAGCGATTGCAGCAAAGCGTTAGACTGGATCAAGATTTCGAGTTCTTGTCCTACGTTATTTAGTTCGTTAATGAAGGAATTGGGTCTTTGGTAGTAGATAGGAATGTTATTGTAAAACATGTCAGTAGAATTTGTGAACTGTAAAGCATGAATTAGCTAAGATAGGAATTGGATGAGCTTGTGTTTTTTTGGTTTTTCTAGGAGGTTACTTCCGATGTTAGGTGTTATTGTAATGGTTATTTTGTATTGTTTTCTTGATTGGTAATAAAATTTTGAGGCACTCTTTTCTTCCTTCCAATTTAACGAGACCTCCCTTTCTTATAAAAAAAATATCAATCTCGATCACTTCAAGGAGTTGTATGTGTTTTCACATTGTTTTGTATGATTATATGGCTATTGATACATTCTACCCAACATATGCTTATTGCTTTATATATTGTATTTTACTATCCACTGTATTTTCCATGTTCAGTGTAGTATTATGCAGCAGAAGCCGGCAGTATAATGATCTTAGATGGAGAAAAAGAAAGGGACAGTGACATGTTTCCTGTTCTTTTGGCTTTTTGGTATTAAAATCCTGTTTTTTTATATATTGAAGGAGAAGGCTCTCTACAAGAAATTTGATTGTTTAACAAAATTATTTATCACTAAATATACAAAATTTGTCACTATATATTTATTTTGACTAATTTTATTTGTTTCCATGTTTGTTAGAACAACCTTGTCATGTAAAGTATATTGTGACAAAATTGTGTTCATTATCATTGTATAGTATTTATTGTAACAATGAAATTTCATTACTTAATTAACTTATCACAATAAAATATTTGTTACAATCAATTAACTATTTCGTCACGAGAAATACATTTTATTATAACTAACTTATATTTAAACATCAAATATAAAGGATTTTTGTGACGAAAATACATAAGGCAACAAAAATTATTTTGACGCAGTTGCTATTTCATCACTAAATGTAACTTATAGAGACAAAATAATTGTTAAAATAAAATCATTATTTTATCACAAAAAATAAATTCCATCACAATTAAGTTAAATTATAACATCAAACAAAAAAAATTCGTGACAAAAAGACATTATAACAAAATTTATTTTCTTACTAATTTTATTTTGTCACTAAATATTTTTTTATAACTTTTTATTGTGACTAAATAATTTTGTTACAGTTTTTTATTGTGAAATAATATTATTTGTCACAATTTTTATAATGAGAAATTAATATTTGTTATAAATTGTTATTTTGATTAAATAAATTTATCACAATTTATTAATTTGACAAAATATTAGGACACAATAAATTTGACATAACTTTTTACTTTGACTAAATTTAACGTGTTATTGCAACTAAATCATTTTGTTACAATTTGTCATTGTGAAAGAATATTACTTGTCACAACACTTATAATTACAAAAATTGTTACTATATGATTTTTTTGCGTAAAAAGTATGGAGAAAAATCTTTATGACAATATATTTTGTTAAAATATAACATTTTTGACACTAAAAATAGGAAGAATTGGTTTTGATAGTATACTTTTTTATAATGATTAAAATATATAAGTACAAAAATAGTTAATTACAAAAAAATTAAATTTTATTATTTGATGTGATAGTTTTTTATATAACAATAACTATAAATTATAATTATAAGAATTTTCAATATAACTTTTGAAACAAAAAAATGAAGAAAAATAGTTATGACAATATATGCTATCACTATAGCTAAAATTTATAATATATATATATAATTTGTCACAAAAACATGAATATCATTACTTTTTGTGGTAATGTTTTTTGTAATAATTATTAACACTTATAATTAAAAATTTTTTCAATATATGACCTTTTTGGTAAAAAAATATGGAGGGAAATCTTTATGACAATATATTTTTTCACTATAATTAAAACATATAATGACAAACACTGTTTTTTACTAAAAACTTGAATCTCATTATTTGTTGTGACAACTTTTTTTTGTAACAATAATTATAGCTTATAGTTACAAATCATGTCATATGATTTTTTTTTTTTGTAAAAAAATTGGAGATAATCATTTATAACTATACATTTTATCACTATAATTAAAATATATAATCACAAACAAAATTTGTCACAACAAATCTAAATCTCATTATTTATTGTGACAATTTTTTCTGTTATAGTTTAGTTATAAAATTTGTCACTATATGCCTTTAATTTGGCGTCAAAAAATTGGAGGGAAACATTTGTGACAAAAATTCGTATAAAATTTATTTTGTCACCATATGTTATTGTTTGCTAATTGTAATAAATTATTATGACGATTTTAGCCATTGTCATAATTTTATATCTTTTTTAATCTAATGTGATGATTATTTATTTTATCATAAAAAAAATTATTAATAGTGATAAAATTAATTTTATAAAATTAAATTTATCACAATAGTATAAATTTCTTGTAGCGGCTCTATTAGTGGGTTCAATGCTGCCACGCCTGCACTGATTTCTGCTTTTACTTTTCTCCCTATGTCACACTCAATCTCAGCTTAATAATGAGTAAACAAATTAGCCTACATAATGCCATGCCACCACCACTTTGATGTAACGAAACATCCAGTATTCATATCCAACAAAATATCATTGTATCATGGGATGGATTAAGTGGTATTAAAGTGTAGTTGTATTCTTGAAAATTTTAAATCTTTGTATAATATATGCAATCTTTTTTTTCTTCTATTCTTTATTGATAATTTTATTTTGCATATTTTAAAATTTTGTAATTTTGCATTCCTTGAATTTCTAATATAGTATTTTGCACACCTGATATAAAAATTTATATATGTTATTTTAGAAATTATCAAAATCTGAACCTATCAATGGTCTCAGTGGTTGAAGAAATTATTTTTCCTTGAAATTTTAGGTTCAAATAGTAGCGTCTGTAAGATGAGTATGCATTGTCAATAATTAAAAAAGATTTTGAACATATATTATTTTATAAACCTCAAATTAATAAAAAAATTTACTAAAATTTCAAACAACAGGACCTTAAGCTTGAGGTAAGTGTGTTGCATTCGCAAGTAATTAACAGAATAGGGAATTGATGGTAAGGTGGTTGCGGATGGAGTAGAGTCGGCTGACGTATGGTAGTGTAATTTAAAGTGCAATAGTTGTTTTGCGGTTGGCCTTTCAATTTATAAATTTGTTAGGCTACTACTATTCAAAATTCCGTTTAATTGTTCAAAATATTTTTTTAGTTTTAGAAATTATTTTCAAAACTTTTAACCAAACTTTCTTTCTCTATCCAAAAGAAAAAAATAAACATGTTTTATATTTGTTTAAAAAACGAATTATGACATTGAGGTGATGTATTATTTATTATTTGAAAATTACAATCTTTCTTTTAATTTTTATTTGATTTTACAAGAATCAACTTATCTGAGTGATTAAAAGAATCATTGTTGTATCTAAAGGTTATGAGTTTGAGCACTAACGATTGCAGCATGGTGATTAAATGTTTGAGAGTATTTATAACATATACTATTTTATAATTACCTTAGCTTAATAAAAAAAATATTTGATTTTATCGATATTTATTGATCATAATAATAGAAAGGATAAAATAATATTTTAATCCCTATATTTGTAATTTATATCAGTTTGACTTTTAATCTTTAGAAATAATATTCTTTAAAGGATAAATTGATAAAATTTATAAACACAAAAATTAGAAGATTATTTTTAGGGATGTGCACGGGGTGGGTCGGGCCGGGTTTTTGACCGTCTCGATCCAAAATTGTATTATTTTAACTCGATCCCGACTTGATTTTTAGATTAAAAAACCAACCCTGGCATGAATATATTAATATTTTAAAATAATATATTTTATAATAATATATTTATAATTATTTATTATAATTTAAATTATTAAAATAATATATTATAATTTTTTTATATTTTTAATAATTAAAGAATATATTTTAATAATATAAAAATCCTTAAAATCTTAAATATATTATATAAATATAAAAAATTAATAATTTAAACCAGGTCTAGTCGGGTTGAGTCGTTTTTTCACCTTAAACTCGACCTCGACCAGCCTCAAAATTATTTATCATATAACCTGTCCCACCTCGACCACAAAATTTTAAAAAAATATCACCCCTATAAGTTCGAGTCAAATCGGGATCCGTCATATTCGGATTTTTTTACCATTCCTAATTATTTTGTATTTTTTATAGCTATTAGGTCAGGAATAAATAGTAAAATTTATTATTTAATAGAAGTGAATGAAGGAACTAATTTTATATTTTAAATAATACATAAACCTTTTAACATATTTAACTTTTTTTTAAAGTGTAAATCTTACAATCAATGTTTAATTTTTTTTATAAACATACAAATAAAACATAATTTAAATTAATTTTTTTGAACGGTAAATTGGTCATTATGGTATAAGTCTAAATAAGGTGAGAGTCTGATACAGATATTGGAGATCTTAGGAGCCAATATTGTATGTTCATGTATGATCTTTTGTGTGTGTTTAATATTTGTATTCATATTAGATAATGGTGTGATGTTTCCACTATTGCCGAGTGGGAACATGAAGAAAAGGGGCATTAGAGTGAGTGATAATGCGTAAAAGAGCAACCGATTGAGTGTGCCAATGGGCATGGAGAATGATTGGTGGGATCATCATTTTTATCAAAAATGCGCACTCTCTCTCAAAAATCTCATCACCCTTTTTGAAAATCTTTGAGCTTAGTCCAATCCAATTCCCCAAACCAACCGGACATCACTCTTCGTGTTCCCATCTCCACCATTTCCATGGCCAAGCACTAGCCCCTCACCACGCTACTTCTCTCTCTTTCTGTTTTCATGATAACATAGTCTTTTTTTTTCATCTGGGTTTTTAGTTTTGTTCTTTGAGGGTTTTTTTCTGTTATGGGGAATTGCTTGTGTAAGTGGGAGCCTTCCATTTACAGAGTTTCATCAAATCCAAAATCAGGTTTGAAATATGGATTCAAGTGTTTTCATGTACTCTGTTTTATTGTTTCATTTTTTTTTGTTTGAAAACGTATGCTTTTTTTCCAGATTCATCGAAAGAGCAACCGAAAGTAAAGAGGGAAGACAGTAAGCTACCGTCGAATCCGGAAGAAGTAGAAGACCTCCGTGGCGGCGATTCGGCGGCGAATCCATTGATAGCATTCACATTCGAAGAGTTGAAGCTCATCACCGCGAATTTCAGGCAAGACCGGCTATTGGGTGGAGGAGGTTTCGGGAACGTTTATAAAGGCTTCATTACGGAGGACTTGAGGGAAGGTCTTCAGATTCAGTCTCTTCCGGTTGCTGTGAAAGTTCATGACGGAGACAATAGTTATCAAGGTCATCGGGAATGGCTGGTAATTTTCCTTTTCCTTTTCCTTTTCCTTTCTTTTTGAGCTTATTACCCGGGAAAATGGTATTGGATGAGAAAAGGGGTTTGTTTTGGTTTGTTGAGGATTAGGCAGAGGTGATATTTCTGGGGCAGCTTTCGCATCCGAATTTGGTGAAATTAATTGGATACTGCTGTGAAGACGATCATCGGGTTCTTATATACGAGTACATGTCTCGTGGTAGCGTCGAAAACAACCTATTCTCAAGTAAGTTCTTTCTTCTTTATTATCGCTCTATTCGTTTATTCATATATCTGAAGTGTCAGATATTTAACTTTTTAGTATCAATATGATTGATCCATCTTCCGATTCTAATTATCTAAACATAATTCTTAATCTCTTGATAATTTTTATTCAAATTACCAGATAATTTGTAAACATCAAAGATTTGATATTTTTTTCAACACCCTAACCACCTAGTACCTACTGTTTAAACATTTTGCTTTTCTTTCAAATAAACACTCCATTAGTTTCTAGGTTTGATCCTACTACGACCTATTACCTACTCTTTTAGAATCCACTAATTTCTTTTTTTAATGGAATTATTTTTAGTGGAATTTAGTAAATGAGTGTGACTACTTTAATATTTTGTGTTTCTAGTTCATAGTTTTATATATTGTAATAAATTGGATGAAAATTTATCATTATAAAATATTGGCGAAAGGGTAACTTTTGCCTCGCAGTAGACTTAATTTATTACTTTTATTCTATGTATTTTCGCATCAATTTAACCATCGAAGTTGTTCAATTGCATCATTCTATAACTTACCCCTAACTTAAAACCCTAAATTATAATCCCTAAATGCTAAACCATAACCATATTATCACTAAACACTAACTTGATATTTATAATTTAGGGTTTTAAGTTAGGGAAATAGCATATAATGATACAATTAAACAACTTTGAAGACTAAATTGATTCGAAAATACGAGAGACGAAATGATAAATTTATTCTACCGCATGAACAAAACTTACCCTTAAGCCTAAAAGATTAATATTACATTCATACTGAACAGTGTATCATTGTTTGTTTCATTAACAATAATTATATATATCATATGTCGTTAATTATTTTATGATTGTGTCTTGTCTAAAAATTCTACCTATGCATACACATTATGCCCTCATGTGCATTTATGGTTATTATTTACGTTAGATTGTGTCAACTATTTTTGGAGCTCTAAGCAAAAATTTTAAAATTAACCTTTTATAGAATAAAAACATGTTCAATTACTTTTAGCAATTAACTTAATATTTTATTAATAAATTATAGAAATATAATTAATTTTTTAAAGCATGATTTAATTTAAAAGTTTAATAATTAGTGAGAGATAAAAAAAAGATGATGAGAAATTGAGAATTTTATAAGATCAAGAGATATCTGACGATATATCGTGATAGTAAAACTGTAATTTGTGAAGATGAAAGGTGGAGTCCTGAGTTAGAGCTCGTGCTATTTCCATGTGGCAGGCCCGTTAATCTTGTATTTAATCTTAAAATATTAATTTCTAATCTTCTTATTTAAAAATTATAACCCCAAATCAAAACATTGTTTAAAGATAATGTTTCACAGAATTTCCCTTGAAGACATTGTTATTCTTATTTCAAATGCGAAGTAATTAAAAAAAAAAAAGAAACCATGGTGACAGGGGTATTACTTCCTCTACCGTGGTCAACTAGAATGAAGATCGCATTGGGTGCTGCAAAAGGACTGGCCTTCCTGCATGAAGCAGACAAGCCCGTCATCTACCGCGATTTCAAGACTTCTAATATTCTACTCGACCAGGTTCATCACTTGCACCTATTGCTGCTGTTAGTCACATCGTTTTGCTTAAATTCATGGATTCCTTCAATGGTTTCGTTTTCAATCAAGCAGGATTACAATGCAAAGCTCTCTGATTTTGGCCTAGCCAAAGATGGACCCGAGGGAGACAAGTCTCACGTTTCCACTCGCATAATGGGCACATATGGCTATGCAGCTCCTGAGTACATCATGACCGGTATCTTCTTCTTACTGCTTACGCATTAATATCGGGAGGAGGCGCAAGATTTTATGTTAAAGATACCGAGTTTATAAAATTTTAAAGAACAAAAATAAATTATCAATAAAAAATATATCTAAATTATATGAGAATTTTGAATTTTCATAGAGACAACCTCCCTCCAGTGCCGTCCATCTCTGGTCTTATATGTTGATTGAATCATAGGTATAGTGGTGAAGGACTAGTTTATATTTCGTTTTTGTGCAGGTCATTTGAGCCCTCGTAGTGATGTGTACAGCTTCGGAGTCGTCCTTCTTGAGCTTCTCACCGGAAGGAAATCGCTTGACAAATCACGGCCGGCTCGCGAACAAAACCTCACGGATTGGGCTCTTCCTCTACTCAAAGAGAAGAAGAAGTTGGACAACATAGTAGACCCCAGGTTACAAGGAGATTTCCCCGTCAAAGCCTTCCATAAAGCAGCCATGCTAGCTTATCACTGCCTTAACCGCAACCCGAAAGCGAGGCCTCTCATGCGAGACATAGTCGATTCCTTGGACCCTCTTCAGCTTTCTCCTCATCCACGTCCGTCAGAAAAAACCGTAATCACCGTCTCCACCGAGGTACCGGATCAGTTGAATGTTAAGACTTTTACAGAATTTGGTGCTCCTCTATAATAACCTTTTTGTTCCAACATACACATACATAATATGTATATGTATATATGTATGCATGTGGAGGCTGGTGATTATTCATTTGTTGCTGACATGGGTGAATGTAGTGAGCATATTGTTTGTGGGAAGCCATCTAATGGATACAATAAGCTATAATTCTTTTTCTTGGTTCTAAATTTCTAATTTGTTGAGTATAGTCCCGTCCTTTTACATGTGTAGGATGTGATATGTCACATACCTCCAAAATTTTAGGGGCCACACACTTTAAAAAATATTTTTTCAAAAAATTTACTCTCATTCTTTATTAATTTCATGATAAGATTTAAAAAAAAATCTTTTAGTTTTCTCCTTTATTATCTCACGGTAAATGAATTATAATTATTTCTTCCTAAAAAAACCCACAATAAATGATTTCTTCCTAAAAAAAACTTCACTAAAATCATATTTCTAACGGAAAAAAATATTGTTTATATTTATTCCAATTTCATTTAGAGTTAATTATTATATATTATTGATTAAGCTATTGTTCCTAATAGGAGGTTTGAACAATACAAAGAATATGAATTTTTATTTACTTCTCATAAGTTGCAGCCACTAAATGATGCGAGTCTAAAGTTTTATTGTGCTTATTTTGAATCTATTCTTAAGGATAAAAGAAAATTTGATGTTGATAGAAATGAATTGTATGTGGAGTTGAGGTTATAAGAGAGTTCTTGCCTATCGAAAAAATGAGACCATCGGAGATTTTAAAGTTTTGGAAGGTAATATTTTTCCTAATACTATTATTGCATATAGAATTTTATTAACTATTCTTATGATAGTTGCATATGTAGAAAGAAGTTTTTCCAAATTGAAATTGTTGAAGACCTATATGTATTCTACTATGTCACAAGAAAGGCTTAATGGGTTAGCATTGATAGCGATTGAGAATGATATTTTGGAGGAAATTGACTATGAAGATTTGGTTGACGATTTTGCTTCTAAGAGCGTTCGGAGGATGACATTTTTTAAATAAAATATCACGATTATAGAGTTGTTTTCTGATATTATCTTAGTTTCAAATGTTTAATTTTATTTTATTTTTATAAGAAACACTAGTAATACGATAAATTTTGATATTTTATAATTTTGTTTTATTATAAAATATTTTAGGGGTTGGATTTTTGGTCGCCCGACCCCAACCTAAAATTGTATTATTTAAACCCGCCACTGCCCCATCCTGATAAATTCTAATATTTCTCCGTCACGACCCTGCCCCGATTTTTGGATTAAAAATTGACCTCGACCCGACCCAACCCAAATATATGAATATTTTATAATTATTTATTATATTTTAAATTATTAAAATAATATATCATATAATAATTTTTATATTTTTAATGATTAAAGAATATATTTTAATAATATAAAAATAAAAATCCCTAAAATCTTAAATATATTATATAAATATAAAAGAAAATTAATAATTTAAAATAGGTCGGGTCAATTTTTTTCACCTTAAACCTGGCCCCAACCTAACACAAAATTATTTATCATATAACCCGTCTCACCCTGAACCCCAAAAATTAAAAAAAAATATCTATCCCTATAGGGTCGGGTCAAGTTGGGACTCGACAGGTTCGAGCTTTTCGACCATCCCTACCGGTTGAGTAGTAAATTGAATCAATGATTAATGTTTAATTTTATCACAACCCCAACACACAAAGAACAGAAGCCTAAGCATTAGGATTGAACAACGAAATCGAGAAAATTAAAAAATTGACCCCAATCGGACTATGCGATTTGGTTTGAATTTTTCAATTTTTGGTTAAATTTTGGTTCAATTTTAAAAATTAAATATACAACTCGGTTTGGTTTCAGTTTTTTCATATGAAAACCGTTTGAACCGAATTAAATTGAATTAAAAAAATAAAAGAAAATGAGTACTCAAAACAATTTCATTTTAAATTTATTATCAGAAAATTTTAAATAAATAAAATACTCAAATCGATAATATTTTTTATGAATTTAAATTTATATATTTTTACTCTATTTATGCTTTAAATTTGTTTTTTTGGAGGTTGAGTTTGAAAATTAGTGAAAAGTTAAAAATCACAAAATCAAACCAAACCGAATCGAATCAAAAATCACGTTTTTTATGCTATTCGGTTTCAGTTGCAGTTTCAATTTTTAAAAACCGTTCAAAGGACTATTCGCTTAATATTTTAATGAAAAACCAAATTGAACTGAATACATCCCTACTAAGCACAAACTCAGGGTCGTATCTGGGACTGGGCAGGAGGGGTACCTGCCTAGGGCCCAGAATTTTGATTATATATTATACTTGTAAAAAATATTTTTATATTGTTGCGGTCGTCTTTCGGGTAGTCTCGGAATTGAGCTTCGACTTGAAATGGGTTAGAGTCGCCATCGATCATTTTAAAAACATTTAGGTGGATCGGACACCATTTTACCTGATCTATATTTTACCATAAATGTGTCGGGTTCGGGAGTCGGTTACTATCAAGGAAGGATTATTACCCTTGTACTGCCCTTTCAACGAAAATTTAAATTTAAATTGAAATTTAAAAATTCAATTCAAAATAATTACCTTTGATCGATTGAAATTACCCCTTAAAGGTAAAAAATGTTAGATTGAACAATAAATATTAAATAAATCGAGGAGAGGGAAAAAATAACAATAAAAAATGTTAAGAAGGAAAAAAATAAAAATGAAGAAAAATGTTCAGTGTGTAAAAAACCAACTATATATATATATAAAGTGTTAAAAGAAATAAAAAATATTAAAAGTAATAAAAACATATATATATATATATATAATAAATAAATAAATAAAATGTAAAGGATCAAAATAGCAAAAATAAAAGGTTAAAGGACTAAAACAAAAAAACATGAATTAAAAGGGCCAAACATTAATTATAAGATAAACTAAAGCTCAAATCGTAAATGTTAAATAATACATACTCCCTAAATGTAAATAACCCATAAATACCAGTAAGGACTAAAATAAAATAAAATAAATAGAAACATAGAAGATTAAATAATAATTAAACCTAATGACAAATAGTTACCAAAATAGAATATTTATAACTATGGTGTCTAAATTTAAATATTAACAAAAATTACAAAATAAGTAAAACTGGACTAAAATAGAAGTATTAAAAAATAAATGCTCAAAACGAAATAAAACAACAGTTCATTTAATGGCTAATATATAAAATTACAAAGCACGAGGGATCTATAATGTTATTATTCCACCGTCTGAAAACACGAAGAAGACCCCAGAATGACATCGTTATGCGCATGATATTTAAGCCCAATCAAAGGCTTATCCACTCCAATTTTCTCATTTTCCAGAATTGAAGACAGAAAGAATGGAGAAAATTCTCTCAACTCTCTCATCGGGGAGTTCATTGGCCGCCAATGATTGGTGACCGCTCACGGCGGTTCACGGCGGCCGAAGAGGGGAAACCACACTCAAAAGACTCATTTTTCCCTCCTCAAACCGAATACCAAATTAATTTCACCTAAAAATCACCCTAGACTCGTAGATCTAGCGCTTTACCTTTCGACGATTCGAAGACCGGTGACTCTTAGGCTTCTCAACGTTCCTCCGACTATGGTATGAAGCAATTTGTCTCTCCCTTCTCTCATCTTTCTTTTCCTTCATTTTATTTTGAATCTTTTTTTATTTTTCTTTTCGAAACTCCCCTGTTTTCCAATGCCCCTTGTGTTTATGTTGCATGCATTTATAGGTTTACAAGCACCTTGTTTTCAATTAGATTAGACTCTTATTTAGGTTGAAAATGTTCATTTTTCGGTTTGTTGAGAGTCTTCTGAAAACTAAATTCTCTTCTGTTTTTGTCGTGATTTTTATCCGTGATGGTTGTCAAAAATTTTGGGAGTGGGGTTGCTAGAGGCGGCTGGAAGGAGGATTATCTCGGAACCCTAGCATGTTCACCATCAGATTTCCATCTGATCTAACAGACAGCAACGTGCGGCGCCAAATAGGGAGTAGACGAACCCTAGCTTGGAACGTGGGCCTGGTAGGGCTGGCCTTCGGGTTGAGCCTAACACAAAGCAAAACATATATGTATATTATACCATATAAATATAATATGTAATACAATAATAATATATGCAAAGGGTCGGACGAAAATAGGTGTCAACAGCTGCCCCTCTTTGTCCTTTTTTCGTGTAACAAAAAATAGGACAAAGATAAAAGGACATAAATTTTCGTTCAATATGAAGGGGTCTCTGAGTCTAATATCCTCCCTTTTGGAGTTGAAAATTGACTATGATATTGCAATTAGGAATAACTCCCTGTTAAATTGAGTTGCGAATGACTCATTCGTCACGAAATTGAGTTCGTCTTGAACCGATATGAAATTGAAGCCGCAGTTCAGAATTTGAATCGGAATGTGGCTTCACATTGCCAAATTGTAGTCAACTTCGGTCTTCTTCTCGATTTAATGACACTGGTTTGAAAATTCGACTAGAAAATAGTTTCTCGACACTACCATGTGGTCAATAGGTCCTCGAGCTGAATGGAGTCGAACTCGAAAGTTTTCGTCGATAAATAGCTTCTCTCGACTTAAGATATGTTGTTGGAATATAGTTTTTTATCACTAAAACGCAGCTAACCTAGATCTCCTTCTTAACTTAAAGACCTCGGTTTAAACTTTGACCGGAAAGTAGTCATTCGCTACTACAATGTGGTTGATACGCCCTTGAGCTGAATGAAATTTAACTCGAAAGTCTTCATTGACAGATAGTTTTTCTCGCCATGAGCTATGATGTAAACTCGTTATGTTTTTTAGCTGAATGAAATCGAACTCAAAGATTTCTTTTGACAGATAACCCTTATTGCCTTGAGTTATGTCGTATTAAGATGAGATATTGCCCCAGATCTTCCTCTTGACTTAAAGACCTTGGTTTAAACTTTAACCGAAAAGTAGTTCCTTGCTGCTACCATGCGGTTGATATGTCATCGAGCTGAATGTAATCGAACTCGAAGGTTTTGGTTGACAGATAACCCTTCTCGCCTTGAGTTATGCTGTAAATTTGATATGTCCTTGAGCTGAGTGTAATCGAACTCGAAGGTTTTTTTTTTGTAGA